AGGTCTTTTTAGAACAATTAGCCAGCCAGAATAAAGAGGGACTGTGAGGTAGAATTCAAAACTGACTTGCAAATGGTTGCAAGCGAATATAAAAGACTGTATTTATAGAAGGCACAAAAACATTGTACAATATACTGGAGAGTGGAAATATATTACATATATTGGCCAGACAGTTTAGGAGGTTCTTATTGTTCTGGGAAGGTGACATTCCTATTTTAGGGCTTCAAAAACTTCCTTCAACTTAAGGGTGACTCCTGAAAACTCCACGGATACATCGATAAATCAGAAGGCATTTGTTTGGCCCCTTTCAACTATCAACGATTGTTAAAAGCCAATAGCTTTTGCAACCAGCCTGTTTCTTGTCTTGTATTAATAATGTTGGCAACAGTAAAAAAACAAACAAACACACCCTGTGTCTCCTCCGAGGAAGCAATTTTGACTTCCTAATCAAGCCTTTCTCAACCTTGGCAACTTGGGACTTCAACTCCCAGGATTCTCCAGCCAGGGGGATTCTGGGAATTGAAGTCCACTCATTTTAAAGCAAAATGTAACACAGATACACTGCGTTTTCTCCATGCGTCTGTCTCTCGCAGCACGGATCTAAGCATCGCCCAACGCTGCGCTCCCATGCATAATTCAAAAAGGCAATTATTTTGAAAACAAAACTTCCCCCAGCACATCGGTCGGCTGGAAGATGTCACTCGAGCACTTAGCAAAATGCTCTGCTGGAAACGCACCCAGTCTTCACTCAACTGCCCATTTTCCATTTTCAGGCTTCTCAACCGTTGGGTATCTAGACTTTCAAAAGGTGGGTCTCCTCCCGGAACGTCTAACTACCTTAAAATTTCTTGTCTTAAGATCCGCCGGTGGCGCAGTGGTTAAGAGTGCTGTGCTGCAGGCCACGTCTGCTGATAATTGGCTGCCTGCAATTTGGCAGTTCAAATCCCACCAGGCTCAAGGTCGACTCGGCACTTCTCTCCTTCCAAGGTGGGTCAAATGAGGACCCAGATTGTTGGGGGCGATACGCTGACTCTGTAAACCGCTTAGAGAGGGCTGTATAAAGCACCGTGAAGCGGTATTCCTTCCTCCCTCCCTCCCTTCCCTCCTTCCCAGTAGTTAGAATCCAGTATTGCAGGATAATTCTGCCCACTGCCAGCAGTTCGATCCTGACTGGCTCAAGGTTGACTCATCATTCCATCCTTCCGAGGTGGGTAAAATGAGGACCCAGATTGTTGGGGAAAAAGAGGCTGACACTGTAAACCGCTTAGAGAGAGGGCTGTAAACACTATGAAGTGGTATATAAGTCTAAGTGCTATTGCTATTTTCCAAAACTACTCCAGCTCTAAAGATAAGCTTGAAAAAGATAATGCTTCTTCTGAAAAACCCTTGTCCAGCAGAGTGAGAAAATCCTTTATTTAATCACCTTAGACCCCAGATTGTACTTATTTGTTTCGGAATTATTTCTCTTCGAAAGGCACGATTTGGCTTGGGTACAGCTTTAATCAGCCTGGTGAAGTTTCCCCTGATTTTTATTGATGGCTGCCACCACTGGCTTTTGTAAATGGCTACTTAAAATCCTTCCAGTTTCAGATTTATGCACTGGTTCCTTTACGGTCTGATGGCACCTGAACCGTTCTACTACTAGACCAGGGGCCTCCAAACTTGACAGCTTCAAGACTTGTGGACTTCGACTCCCAGAATTCCTCTTCCGGTCATGTTAGCTCAGGAATTCTGGGAGTTGAAGTCCACAAGTCATGAAGCTGTCAAGTTTGGAGGCCCTTGTAACTAGACCAAGCGATTTTAGGCGTCCTTATAAATAAAATCAGTCCAAGGCCACGTGCTGGCTTACCAATCCACTGATCTCGGACACAGGAAAAGAACTGGAACCCACAGAGGATGAGGGCATGAGCTGAAATTAGAGCTATGTACATCTGGAAAAGAAGGGAAGATGCAGAAATCAATCTTCGGAAGGCACAGCTCCCAAGACAATCGCGTGTCCCCTTCCTTTATTTCTCATCTAACTGTGTCTATTTCAGGGGTGTCAAACTCGATTTGAGGGCCGCATCAGGGTTGTGCTGGACGGGGGGGGGGGGGGGGGGGGGGGGGGCCTGGCGGGGGGGGGTGTGGGCATGTCCAGTTTGACGTCACTCGTTCAGCTCCGTTTTCGGCCACGATGGCTTCCTGCAGCCCTCTTGCCAGCAAAAACGCCCAGGTGGGCTGTGCACAGCCTTCACAAGCTCCGTTTTCGCTGGCAGAGGCACCACAGGCCAATTCTTCACTTTTTCCAGAGTGGCCCCATGAGCCAGATTGAAGCATCCCTCCAGCCGGATCTGGCCCAGGGGGGCCTCGACTTCGACCCCCCTGGTTTATTTTCTCCATTTTGGAAGTTGCCTGATTCCACAACCATTTGAGGCAGCTTACAATAAAAAAATTAAATGCAAACGATGCCTATTAAAAAAAATTACAATAAAATAAAAGGAACAGAGTTCATCGGAAGGTGCCCCCCCCCCCCCATCCAAAAAAGGTTCAAACAGCAAAATAAAAAAAGCTCAGCCCCCATTTCCAAGCCAAGGAAGGTCTGAGAAAAAGCCCAAAGGGTACAGAGATAGCAGAGGTGATATTTCACAAGGCAGATATTTCACCATCACCAAGGTAGTGATGTTGGCATTAGAACGCCACCCGTATTCTGACTTGCAAATTTAAACGTTCCGCTAACGCTCATCCCTCTTCCCCGATTGGCGATAAATGAAATCCCGATGCCTACTCACAGTAAAAAGCACGAAAAACCTCTGGTTCCTTTCCCCTACGCAGTTGTTAACCCACGGACAGTGATGGTCCATCTTCCGAATACATCGTTTGCAAATACTGATGGGAATTTAAAAGGAAAAACAAGTGAGGAGGAGGGGGGAAAAAAAAGAGGTTATGTGCATTTTGGAGCTGAAAGTAGAAGCGATTTCTTTGAGAATCCAAGGTGTTTGCATACAGCAAACCAGCCAGATCTATTTCCTCTTTTAGGAATCCGACAAAACTTTATTAATTTATAATTCCTATTTCTGAACCGCTCAACTCTAAGAGGAACGTTGGAAAATAGATCAGGTCGGTATCGTATCAGAGAAAACTCCCAGGACACAAAGCTATTATGGGTCAGGGAAACAGGGTGAAGATTTCAAACAGTCCTCGGAGCGAGGGACACCCATCGATCAGTCCGAATAGAATTCTGAAGAATGGAAGAAGCTTCTTGAAGGAGAAGCGCAACCTTTTCAAAGAAAACAGCAAGGAAGTCCAGTTGCCTTTGGGACGACCAGGACCAGGACGATGGAGAAGCTCCTTTGAAAGAAGACCAGCCTGGTGGGACCTCAGGGTAGCAACGGGGAAAGGATTTTACACCTCAGTTCTAACCGGAGGGAGCTAGGTATATTATATGCCGGTTTCAGAGCAAATCAAGGACAGCGCGGCGGATACCTGCAGTGATGGGCACGTTCTGGCTTCACGCTGCAACATTTGGGGCACTTGTAGATGACCTCCCCTGGTTTCAACTGCAAACTCTCCATGTATTCTTTTGTCGCATTTCCTTTGGGAACAGCACCCTAAAAAGCAAGACAGACAAAACTCAGTGACTCAGGAGGAGGCTGCTCTTTTGCACTGTACTCCTCGATGATCTCACGTTCTCCAAACAGGCTGTCCTTCAGTTCCCAGAATCCCCGAGGCTGCATTGGGAGAATGGGAGAATTCACCACGGCCAACTTGCTACACAGCCAACTCACCACTAGCCAATTCACCATGGCCAACTCGCTGTGGCCGGATCATCAAGGCCAACTCACCACGGGACAACTTCACCTTGGCCACAGGTTGGCCATTCAACAAGTATATTTAATTATTGAAAATAATTTAAAAATTATTGTAATCTTTGTCCTTCAGATTTCATTTTGTCCCTCCTTTCACATCCTTTCTGTAATGATTCCATTCCGCCTGTCAATTCATAAAATATTTCTCTGGTCTTTTTGGAGTTGCTAACAGAAGGGGAGGCGGGAGCAGTGCAGCAGCTTGCAAAACCAAAACTGCATTCCATAAATGTTTTCAGAGATAGTAACCAGGTGACCGAAGTTTCTGCCATGCAAAATTCTAACTGGAGAGCATGATTGATGACTCTCGGCTATGGATGTGTCCCATTGGAGAATATGAATGATATACCCAGAGGGTGAGGGGAAAACCAGGGTCAAAGGTGACAATGAATGATGTGTCTCAGAGTCGGCTACATCCAGGCAGTGCCGGCATATTAACTCCCAATAAATCCTTTTTTTAAGTTTTGGAAGTTTGGCTCGAGACTCATGATTTAAATGGGGGTAACTGCTGGAGCCCTGACACCACCATTTCTTCAATATTATGTAATTTTGTTCCGAGGTGAGTTATTCTGCGGTGAGTTGGCCATGGCAAATTGTTCTAGACTCATGGGATTATAAGAAGCAGGAATCCACATGGTCAAGAAAGAGTTCTCCGCGTGGCATCCAAAACCGTTGGGTCTCCACACTCACTGGATCCGTCAGCATGGTTCTTAGGTGAGAAGACAACGCAAGCACAGCCAAGCCGTTGAAAAGGACTCCGTTGACCAGGGAGTACCAGAAGTCTTTGGAAGGCAGCAGCATGACAAAGGTGACCACGAAGTCGGCGTAGACCACCAGAAGCCAGGTCATCACTGCGCAGACCATCCCGCAGCTGTCGCGGATGAACCAGAGGCGATCTCCCGCGTCACACGCGGATGATGAATCGTAGCAGTCGTTCTCGGCCAGAAGCGGATGGTGTTCAACTTCACGCAACCTGTGCCCGGATGACTGCATGGTTTTCAGGACTGGCCCTGTGGGGAAATAACCAGTGGGTAGCCATGCAGCCAGGATCCTAGATGGCCCATCCTCTGTCAAGGGATGGCGAACAGCCCATCCTGTTCTAATTTAAACGAGGCAAGTCAAACGCAGTAGGGAGGACCCCAGAATCAATGCACCCAAGGTTGATCTCAACAGACTCAGAAGACCAAATGTTTAAGATCCTAAGGGTCAATCGGGTTTTTTTCCCCACATTATGTTGGCTTCTTATAAGAACTCTAGAAGCCCTCAAGTCAGCTGTTGAAATGTAAATAAAAGCAGGGATTGGAGCTCAGAGTTGAAAGGAGGGGTCTGCAGTGCGTTCGGAGCCTGCCTGTTTTCTCGCAGATGTTTCCTTATCCAATTAACATCAGTGGGTAGAAGGGAACAAGATTTGCAGAGGAGGAGGAGGAAGAGATGGAGATTGTGGTGTCCTTGGTGTCCTCTGAGCTTGGTTGCTTTCTTGCAGACATTTCATTACCCAATTAAATAACATCATCAGTGCTAGAAGGGAGTGAGGTTTGGAGGAGGAGGAGGAGGAGATGATTGTGGCACTCTTGGTGCATGACTGTTTTCTTGCAGATGTTTCATTACTCAAACTAGGCAACAACATCATAGAACAACTGAGTTCACAGAGTACCAAGGACCCCGTTAACATTAAAATCTTCCCCTCTTTCCCACTGCTTTTGTTTCTGGCTGTTCTTTTGGACTGGCTTCTCAAGTGTAAAATCTTGGGGGAGGAACCTCACAAAAGGAGACTCATGAAATCCACCTCCTTCTCGACAGACCAATCGTGGGGCTTCCATTGTTTAATGCTGTTTTTGCAGAAGTTTGAATACCTTTAGCTGTACTAAATGAGATGACCCCGTCAATGAGTTACTTTCACGCAGGAATTACACCCTAGGATCTATTTATTTATTTACTTATTTGAAAATTCAGCCTCCGGGGGAATAAAAATTCTTGCTCTGGGGATCCATCTCTTGGTCCTCGTTTGCCTGGCCCATTTGCCTTTCCCGTCTGCAGGATGGAAAGCCTTTCTGGGGAACATTTGCTAAACCCCATTTGGTGTCTTTGAGTGAAGTTCTCAGAAGCTTCATGAAATCACAAACGGCCTCGTTAAATCATGGCTTGCTTGGGAAAGGATGGCGTTCTCAGGGAGCGCCCCACAGAAAATCAAAGCAGGAGGAACAGCTGCAGTGTTAAGTCTCCCAAATGCCGGGAATGGCAAGAAATCCTAGATACCCTTTTCATCCTAAAATCCCTATTGATTCAGGGCTATTACGGGTCGATGGTGAAGAGCAGGGCTGAAAGCCTGCTATTGATTTGCTGATATCTGAGCAGATGCTTCCCGGTTCCCCCCACGAACGGCAGCTTCCTTTCCCTTACAAAATAGCACACACGAATGCCAGTTTTAGAGGCGCGTTCGGCTAATGTGTAATTATCCTTGATTTATCACAAATCAAGGCGGGAAGTTGGGCCCTGCCAGCTGAATGAAACAAGGACAGAAGGGAGTTAGGATTGATTCTACCTCCTCCTCCTCACTGTGAATAGGTGCAGCCTTAGCTTGAAGATAGCAATCACCCCTCAATTATTATTATTTTTTCTTCTTTTCAAGATACTCAGCGACTGTCTGGGCACGTTCCTGCACTTTCCTGGTGAGGTTTTTCAAAAGCTGTTTGCCACTGTCTCCTTCCTAGGGCTGATAGAGAAGGACTGGCCCAAGCTGACCCAGGAGATTTGGCATCTAAGGTAGAACTAGAACTCACAGTGTCTCCTGCTTTCTAGCCTGGTGTCTTCACCACTACCCTGATCTGGGTCTGGTCTGTAGCCAATTCTTCTTTCACTGATTCTGGTGAAGGAAATCAGGATCCATTCAGAACCACCTCAAGGCTTACTACGATCCTTAGGAATCCAGCTGACAAATGGCATTACTGCAGCAGGGCAAGATTTTAATCCTGCCTTTGGAAAACAATCAAGTCATCCACACAACATCCTAAGCATGACTTGATGAAAACAAAAACCTTCATTTTTGGCACAGGGTTCAGATCTTAATCCACGGAGCAGCAATTCTGCAGCAAAAAAGCTGGTTTTGCTTTCCCCTCCCCTCAAAAAAAAAAAAGACTTGCTGTAGGCAGGGGGGGGGGAGGGAAGACAGCATAAAGGAGGTTGACTTGTTGAAAACCCCAAATACGTAATCGAATGTGACTGGGGGAGGGGGGAATCGCTCCAACCTAAGCTGAGGCACGAAGCCTTCGCATAAAAAGGATCTTTTTCAAACCACAAATATTTGAGACAAGGGCTTGACTGTTTTGCAGCTTTTATAAAATTGCCTATATTCATTTTCTCCAACCTGGTGCCCTTCAAGCATACTGCATTGCAGTTTATGTACATATCTTAGCCAGCCTCCCCTTAGCCAAGACCAAAGAGAGTTTGATCTTGGAGAAGGAGGGCCGATGAAACGCTTTTAACTTGGGGCTTCAATTCTGGTTTTCCCAGCCACAAGAATATCAAATAAACAGGTTTTGCATTCGCTGCAGAAAGGCAATAACTACCCACAGGAACTGATGAGAGGACAGTCCGCAGCAAGAGGCCACAACAACTTAAAAGACGAACTGTACCAAAAGCTCAGAGAAATGTCCGTCAAATACTCCTATGAATAATGTGAACGCTTGATGAAAATATATCTCCCAAAAGGAGCTGCAATAAATATATATATATATATATGTTTTCTTAAGTTTTCGCGGGTACTTACGTGTGTGTGTGTGTGTGTGTGTATAGTATTCAGCTTTGTTCGGGTATTTTCCCACGTCATTATAGTTGTGCTTTTAAAGTTGTAGCAACGTTTCGGCAATATAGAAGCCTGATGATGGCAGATGAGATTCTGCCGAAACATCGCTACAACTTGAAAAGCACAACTGTAATGATGTGGGAAAATACCCGAACAAAGCTGAATACCATACATATAAATACCCGCGAAAACTTAAGAAGACATACACACACACAAACACACACATATATATATATATTAAAAAACAGTCTAGTCATGTGTGCATGGCAACTGGCCACGAACCTCTAGTGGTGCTTTCAGTTTGAAATGTTATCCATCAATCTCAATTCCCTAAATTGTCTATCTGGATGGTGGAAAAGGCCCTCCTCCGTGGCTTTCTAACGGAACGTCGAGGTCAGTTGACGAACTTCATGAGTTTTTCTTGGCTGTTTTGCCTCTGCCTATTCGAAGAAAGCTTTATGAACGGGAAGCTGGGTAAGAGACGTGGAGGCCCCTGGGTGCAGGTGTTTCTATGGGCCAGGGGGAAAAAAATAAAATCTACATACCTGTTAGGGACAACGGTTACTGGGACATCTTGCTGTTCCTTTGGGCTTTCGACGATGCAAACGATGTGGTCATATCTGGAGTAACCTTCCCGAGCATAAATAGAAGTGTGTGTTGGTCCCAATCAGAACAGCTTGAGAGAAAAGCCAATGGCGGGGGGGCATCACCTGGAAAGGGCAAAACATCTGCTGAATGTGGTAGCAGGTGCTCCCTGGAGAAGCACTTTTGACCTCTGGCTCACTTCTCAAGTTCAAGCACCTCCCTTTCTCTGGATCGAATCCTGAAATCTCTAAGGGAAAAGGGGAGAGAGAGAGAGAGGCTTCTGATTCTTCAGAAGAGGAGAGGTTGTGGTTAATGGGCAGTGTTATCCGCCACCAGCTGTTTCGGGAAGTGTCAAATTCAAGCCATCTGCCCTGCTCTCTTGCTGTCCAGCTGTCCGCAGGCTATTGCCATATTCCAGGAGGTTATGACCCATCTGGGAAGGCAGAATGCACGTTGTCCGGGGGCTGCTTGAAACTTACAAACTGATGCATTGCAAACCAAGGTAACCAGGATGACTTTGGAACCATTTTTTGTCAGGAGTTTAAAAAAACTTCTATATTAGGTATTATTCACCCAGCTGAAGTTGATTTTTAAAGGCTTGGACGTGGGTCCCTAAAGGTCGTTTCTGCTATATAGTATGAAATACATTCTTCTCAGGGTAATTAAGGTTAGACATTTCTTTCCATCTGTGGTCACTTTTTTCCCCCCTTCCCAGAAGTTCCTTTGTCAGTCACTGCTGCTGTTCAGTTTTAGGTGCTCTGCTATTATTTCATTTCCCATGCTTCCAACGAAACTGCAAATTAATTTTCCTTCTAAGTTATTTTAGCATTTCTATTTCTACCATTTTATTATCCTTCTTTTGCTACCTTTAGAGAATAACTGTGGGTTCTGGTCTACTGATGTTTGCTATTGATCTTTTGATTTATTTTTCTCTTACTTTAAACGGAAAACGTAGAGCAACTTAAAAAGCAGGGGAACACAGTCGCCTACATAGCCAAACTACTAAGGTCTACAGGAAAAAAAGGAGGACGCCAGCAAATCCGAGAAAAATTGCCAATTAATTAAAAATTGCAAAATAATAAGTGAGCAAAAAGACAAAACACTTCTCCAAGTAACTCTGTTGACCTCTCTCTCAACAGCCCAGAATGCAAACAACTCAACGGCACACTGATAATGTCAACAAGAGTGAATAATTCAAAAGTACAGAATGTGAAGCAAGTTTGGGCATCTCGTGAATGAGCTAATCCACGTTAAGAACAGGAACTTTCCCAGAATCAAGCCAAGCCTTCAGATAATTCAACCAAGGAAAGGACAAGGGGAAATAAAAGACTGTCAATGTAAAATATATTTCATACAGAAATAAGAATATAAAAATCCACTGATTCCAGGGCACCAGGGACAAAGCATCCACCCCAACGATGCAAAATTGTCATCCACAGTCAGATACCATTCCAAATATTATAATTTTTTTTGGTGGGGGGGGGAGAGTAAATTGATGCTCCTTTGAGTTGACATACCCTGTCTTGGAGGAAGCCAACCTAGTCAGCCTTTTATTGTCCAGGAAAAGCAGCAGCTGCAGGAGGCTCAGCCGGCTTCTAAGCGCCCAATTAAAAACCTCTTCTTGATTATTTATTCCAAGTATTGCAGCTTTCAAGGTCACAGTTGCTCTGCTCCCGCTAACGGTGACCAGCCTGTAACTGAATATTCCCAGCCATCCTAAAGTTACATATTTTTTTTCCAGGGCTGCCTCTCCACAAGAGGTACCAGCTGTGGTGGAAGCAAAGCTACCCTCCGCCTTAAAGCTAGCTTCTGCTTCCCTTTTTGGAGTTTCCGAGTTGCAACATACCTACAATCGGTTCCTTGAGCTGGTCCTGGCAAGTTCGGAGGATGTTCTAAGCGGGAGGATGGAAGAGGATGGAAAGATCTGCAGGCCACGGACGGCCTGCCCCAGCCTCGTCATGGGCCATGGCGGTGGGGTGGTTACATCCTGATGGGCTCCGGCTCGCCAGAGATCCACAGGCGTTCTCATCAGCAGGGCCTCTGATGTCACAGAGATCTCCCTAGGTGAGCAGAGCAGGCAAGGTAACTGCTCTGTTGGAGGAGGGGGGGCCACAGGGAGGGCCAGAAGCACATCAACAACACGGCGGGAGACATTCGTGTGAATCCGAAGGCAAACCTTTGAAGCTGCTGACCAACGTCACAATTCACACACGTGGGAAGATCAAGCAAGTATACATGTTCTGATCCAGGCTTCGTAAACTGTACTTGTTCACAAACTTGTTTTAAAAGCAAAACCTATTTTATTGCAATGCTGGGAATTGTTTTCATTCCCAGACGGAATTCATCTTAAACAATCCCCCAAGATAAGCACGTGCCTTTCAGCTCTGTGAAGTGCTGCCCAAAACAGAAGTATCAAATAAACTAGAAAAGAAACCAACCGAAGTACCAGGAAAAAATGACCAGAGTACACAGAGCTTCAAGGAGGACTCAGAATCTGTTGAACTACTTTGCTTCCTGCAAAGATGTCGTCACCTTGGCCTGACTTTTATCCCTTATGGGTCAATCACCTCCGAGCCTTACTCCTGAGTCGCCCTTTTGTCTTAGCTGCTCTTGCCTTCTAGCAGCTCTGCGCACACGCGCACTGGGAACAGGCTCCCCTTGTTCCTCTGCCTCGCTACTGCCAGACTCCAAAGGCTCCAAAGGCAGCACCCCACTCCCAGATGGTCCTTGCTCCATCCCTGGATCGGATGCAGGACCCTCGTCCGAGTCCTCTCCAGACTCCCTGACTGGTCCTCGTTCTTCCTCACTGTCTGATTCCGCTACCATCTGCCCAGGCTGCCGGCGAACCACACCAGTGTATATTTTGCAGAGCATTACAGTAGCCCAGAAGGATTGCTCTTCTTTCTGCGGGAACACACTTATGCAGAAAAATAACACATGTGTTGTGTGTGTGTTCAGTAACACATACGTGTTACCGCAGAAGGAAAAGCAGTCTTCCTGAGCTACTATAACACTCAGCAAAATACACACTTTTTTTGATCTCTCATGTGTCACCGTGTTATGTTTAGAGGTTTTTAAGAAGAGACCGGACAATCACTTGTCTGAAATGGTCGAGGGTTTCCTGTTCAAGCAAGGGGCTGGACTAGAAGGCCTCCGAGGTCCCTTCCAACTCTTGTCATTCTGTTGGTGTGGATTTTGGAGATTTAAGACAAACAGGAGTTTTCATCCTACCAGCAATGAGACAAAATAAAAACCATGCACCTGGGCAAACCATGGTATGTTTTATATTTTGCTGAGGGCATCTGTAATATAAGTATGATTCTTTTTTTAGTTACAACACTTGATTGTCCACGTTACTTTCCTCTCCTCATTCTTTTTAAGACCGAAGTGAGCATTTATCTGTTGTTGTTTTTTTAACCTTCCATTTAGCAGCCTTTAGTCTCTCCCCAGGGGCATCGGTTTTGATCTGCTCTCGAAGTTTTGCAATTCATCCTTCAGTTGCTGGATCTACTGGCCAAAATTGCACATGCAGATGACCGGCTAGTGAAGTCAGCTGACGGGTGGGAGGATTAGCCATCACTTTCCTTCAATTATTTGATGCTTACCGAGACAGGATCTCCCCTAATGAGCTCCAGCGTCTTTCAGAGTCATCCAATTAGTGTCCAGTTCTGTAATAACTGTACTGTTGCATTGAAAAAAAAAAAAGGATAGAAGTAATTGAAGGTTTTGCCAGGCGATGAGAAAGCCCAGCCATTCTATTGTGTGCCACTTCCTGAATGCATTTGGGAGGCATGCTCTAATGCAGTATTAGACGCTCCTTTGCTTGCAAAATGTCTCAGTTTCCGTTCCGTTTTTTGCTTCTTAAAAAAAAAGGAAGCTAAAAAAAACCCAAAAAAACTAAAGCTAGCATATTTTCTCACGCCTCAAGAAAGCATTCTGGTTAGAAAGGATAACAGTCTAGGACAGTGGTGGGTAACCTTTTTGGGGCTCCCATGCCAATAACATCACCCAGAAGGAAATGCCCATGTCTCCTGCACATGCAACCCCTCCCCCCACGTATGTGTCTTCTGCACACGTGTCTCCTGCGTGCTGCCGTGCCCCTTCACATGCACGCCAGATATCCGACAAATCAGCTGTCAGGTGTGCAGCGGGCGTGCACAGTAGACTTTTCCTGGGCGAGTGCTCGCCTGCTGGCAGTAATGGCTCTGCGTGCCACTTCCGGCACGTGTGCCATAGGTTTGTGTGCCACCACAAGTCTAGGAGTTACACTAACAGCCTGAACTATTCAAGGCAAATCGGTTTCACGTTGTTTTCCAGAAGTATCGTTGGCTAAGAGCTTTGGATAGACTTTTATCTCAGATTTACAACTGGAAATGCAGGATTTGGGAGGAGCCGAAGCTGCCAAGGTTGAGAAACCCTGAGCAAAACAGGGAAATCCCAGCCTTGAATGAAGCAGGGCAGATAAGCAATGATGAAAAAGTCTCGGGTTTATCAGGGGGTTGGACTGGATGACCACCAAGCTCCCTTCCCGCTTTGTCATTCTGCGTTTCCCTTGGGAGAGATGAGGATCTCCCTCACCCAGATGGAGATGGGCATCCCACGTCCCGAAACTCCAGCAACTCATCCCGGGAGGTCACCGTCCCCTAGAAGGGCTGTGGTTCCAAGGCCCATCATTCCCAGCCAGGATTCCAAAGAGGATGGGGCGAGGAACGGGAGATGGGAGTCCAACTTGCCCAGAGGGCACCCAGCTGGGAAAAAGCCCATCAGCTTCTTCCACTTCCAAAATCGGGATGGGCCTCGAGTCCCATAATCCCTTCCCCGTG